GGCATGTAAACCGAGGGTGGACGGACGGGAAGGAGGTGAAGGTGAAGAGGGTGAAGAAAAGTAAGGACGGGGAGGATGCGAAGCCGGAAAAGAAGAAGGAAGGGAAGGGGAAGAAGGAGTCTAGGGCGGGCAAGAAATTGGTGTTCAAAACTGTAGTCCCGCCAAACGCGATCGAGGTCGTTGCTATTGAGAAGGCGGAAGGTAAGGTGAAGGAGAAGAAGATCAAGAAGGAGCGTAGCGGAGGCAAGAAGGAGAAGGTGGTAAAGGAGTTCTCGAAGTCGAAAAAGTTGGCAGCAGGATCGCATGGCACTTCAATGGCACGATCAGCACTAAAGCACGAAGATGGTAAGGGTTGGGTGGATGATGATGGAAATGTCGTGGAGTCCGAGCGTGTGTCTAAGCGAAGCAAGCGTGAGCGGGACACTGTGGCAGAGAATGCTTCGCTGTCGGGCAAGTCATCAAGGTCGGTTGTGGCACGGAGATCACAAAACCCATCACCGGTCCCGCCACAAGCAGCAGCAGACTCGTCCGCCGGAGAGGAGAGCTCGGTAGTCTCCTCGGACAGCTCAGACTCCGAAAGCGACGAAGACGGCTCGGAGACCACTTCCAATCCAGCCGACAATACAACAGCGAAGGCCAATCCTGAACCCGCCATTGCGACCCGTGACATCCACCCGCTGGAAGCACTTTACAAGCGACCAGCTACCGCCACATCAGACAACGAGAAAGTCAGACCCGCACCGATAGACACGTCCTTCAGCTTTTTCGCCTCTGGCGACTCTGCAGACATCGAAGAGGACACTGCAGTGCCGTCGATGCACCCTCCACAGACACCACACACGAAGCAAGATCTGGAGTGGCGAGCTTTGCGCTCCGCAGCACCGACACCGGACACGGCTGCCATTGGCCGGAAGTTGAGCTTCCCGTTTGCCGGCCACGTCCATGAAGATGATGACTCAGACGTGCAGGACGCTGAAGCAGACGGGACTCACGGTGCTGTGGACGTCGGCAATGTTGAGACGGCTCCCACTGGCATGCGTGACGGCAAAGAGGAGAGCGAGTTCAGAAAGTATTTCTTCGAGCATAGAGGCGAGAACAACCGTGGTTGGAAGAGGAAGCGGAGGGAGGCCAAGAAGCTCGTCCGGCAGAGGGAGAATCGCAGGTACAGCAGGAAGTAGTCTAAGCCATACACCTTGGAGGCCTAGAGCTGGGTACGTAGCTCTTATTGGACACCTACGAGCTCGCCCCATCTGGGAACACATTGTTTCATATTGTCTCCTGGTGAAGAAGAGCCCCACACAGTGAAGTGAACGAAAGTCGGTTGCTAGCGCTCCCATGGTCCGAGCTTTTTGTTGATTCCCGAAACGCAACTTTCGAGATCGTCCTGTGTTCGTCGACATACGTCGTATTGTACCTTGTCAGATTTCATTCGCTGTGATATTGCACTCAGCATGTCGCGAAACCAGTACGTGTCAGGCATGGACTTCGAGTGGGCGAACGGCGTGGGACAAGTGGACAGCACCAGCGGATTTGGCAAGATTGCCTTGAAACATCAGACGCCTAGTACAGAAAGCAGAAAGAGTACGTATAATTTACATCGTGGTGCTTGGGATTGATGCAGTGGCTGATGATGTATCTGTAGGACCGTACAGTCAATTCGAGTCGCCCACGAGGAATCCATACACAACGCCCGGCGCCGGGCGAAGATCACCAGACAAGGCGCTACCTGGACTACCTCCAGCTGCGTTCAATGCACACTGGACGCCGCGGAGCACGAGGAACGACGTTGATGATTCTAGTGCAGGAGAGACGCCCAAGCGACAAGACGACAGCGAGCCTGGGACGCCTGCGGATGTGATGGCTGCACGACAGCTAGTCGGTCATCTGTCACCTCACAAGAGCGCACCGGTGGTGATGACTCTGGCGACCTCGAGAGGCGAGGAAGAGCAACGGCATGTTGACATGGAGTGGGAGAGGTCACGACAATCGCCAACGAAGAAGGGCAACCTGTGGAACAGAGTCGTAGCCAAGTGCAGCCCAGGCAGAGGTAGCATTCCGCGCGCCGAGGTGGTGCAACACAAGCACTCAGTCGCGCGAGGGCAGAAGCATAGAGAGCTTAGCAGACAGCGCTCGAGAAAGAGACGATATAGTGTGTCGGACTCTGGATCGGATGCTGAGGTCGATGACTCTGAGCTCACTATGCCACGAACCTCGAGCCCACGCAAGACCAGCAATCGCTTGCGCCAGAACAATGACGATCAAAGTCAATCACAAAACGCCAATCAACAACCCCACTGGCTCTCCCGCCTCTTCACCTTCATCGGCCAACACCCCACAGTCCCACACATCCTCTCCTTCTACGCCCAACTAGCCTTCAACGTCTTCCTCCTCGCGATGTTCAGCTACATCCTCTGGTGCTTCTGGTCCGCAATCCAAGGCGACGTCAACAAGAAAGCTTTCGAAGCAAGCGCGGACATCATAGCCGAGATCTCACAGTGCGCGCACGATTTCAAGATCAATAGCTGTGATTTACCTACACGAGCGCCGGCATTACAGCAGGTGTGCGCAAATTGGGCAAAGTGCATGAACAGGGACCCGATGAAAGTTGCAAGGGCGAAGGTGAGTGCGCAGAGCTTCGCGGAGATATTCAATGGGTTTGTGGATGCGCTGTCTTGGAAGTCGATCACTGTCGCAGCGGCGTTCGTTCTTGGGGGCCTGCTGGTGTCGAACGTGGCGTTCAGCAAGCTCAGGCATTCGGCGAGTGTGGAGCAGCCTTGGGCGCATCCTTATGGGTATCAACAGGGTCCGCCTGCGACGCCGCAGACTTCGAGGCAGTTCAGTGGCGAGGGAGGGTACTATGGGCAGGGTACGCCGTGGAGGGATGGACCGGCGTTGGAGCCGTTGCCTAGTGCTGGGGCGTTTCAGGGGATCGAGGGGAGGGGGAGTCCGGTGAGGAAGTTGGGGTATCATTGATGGCATAGCGATGATCATGACTGGGTGGCATGTTGTTTAGCGAGTCAGATCGTTGTATTGCTGTCGCTTGCACTGAACGCCATGACACTGCTTCGGGAAGTAAGCGGCGTTCCACGAGTCCCCTTGGTCGTGTTCCCTCCACCAGAACATGAACAATTTGCACTCTCTCGATCCAGCATTGAACAGTGGTACGTCTACTTTAGAACGTGATGATCATAACTAGTCCCAAACGCGACGATGTCATTGTGACTTCAAGCTGCATCTCGCTCTCCTGACCGATCTCAACGCGGGCGTGTCGTAGGGCGCATAACAGGCAGCGACACATTCGAACTGCATCATCTTTGCCGAACAGCTCAATCCACATAAGCTAAGTAACTATCTCGTCTACTTCAGGTCGTTCGTTCCCGTGCGACCTAGACGTCGACGTCCTGAGATCTGCGATCATGGCCGAAAATGCCACCAAGACCCTCAAGGCACGCTGCCTCTGCGGCGCCGCCTCATATGAAGTCCCCGTCCCATCCGCCTCCCTACCACTAAAGTCCTGGTGGTGTTCTTGCACATCCTGCCGCCGCATGACCGGCACTCTATCCCTCAACGTCGTCTACCTACCGGGCTCGTTTTCCCCTACTGAAGCACTGCTGAAGAAGCTCACAGAGTTCCAATTCACGAAACGCGTGTTCCAGCTGTTCTGCTCTACTTGTGGGGGTCACATTCTCGCGCGATGTCTGGATGATGCTGAGGCTAAGGAGCCGAAAGTCACATGGGACGCGATGTCTGGGACGCTGGAGCAGTTCGATGGCTTCGTGTATCTGCAGGGGCATGAATTCATCAACGACACGCTGGACGGTGGGATCTCGGATTTCGTTACCGCAATTGATGAACGGCAGCTAGATCGATGGGCCGCACGACCTGAGAAGTCTGAGCAGCTGGCTTTAGACTGGAAGGACCCCAAACTCGCAGAGCTCAAGCCAAACAAGGACAAGGTCCACGCCCAGTGTAAATGCGGTGGCGTCGAGTTCTGGATCGCACATCCCTCATCTCGCTCAACGCACGCTGCTTCGCAATGGCCCGATCTCCTCCGACCCAATGCTCCAGATAATCCCAACAATGAATGCTGGTGGCTACAAGACAACAACACCAAATTCCTCGCCGGCACTTGCAGCTGCGACTCCTGCCGCCTGGCTTCTGGACAGGAGATCGTGCAATGGGCTTTCGTCCCTACAGTCGACATCACACTCGACGCAGCCGGCACAGTGAAGTTCGAACGCCAGTTTGGTACCCTTAAGCAATTCAGAAGCTCCGAAGAGATCTACAGGAGTTTCTGCGGCGTCTGTGGGGCGAGCGCGTTCTACTGGGCGGACGATCGACCCTTTCTGATGGACGTTGCGATTGGACTGCTCGACGCGCCTGAAGGGGCGAGGGCTGAGGGGTTACTGGAGTGGAAGACTATGAGATTGAGCTATAGGGAGGATGCTCTAGGAAGGGCGAAGGATATTGTAGAGGGGATTGAGAGTGGGCTGGAGGCGTATGGGGAGAGGCGAGATAGGGGTGAGAGGGAGGTAATTAAGGAGAAGGTCAACGAGGGGGCAAAGGTGATGGTGGTACGGTGAGCAGGAGATCTTCCTAGGACTTGAGTGCGCCGCGTCCCGTACATGAAGCGAGGCAATTGAGCAGAGACATGTCTCGACACCCCGTTGAGCGAGCTGCGCGTCTCGTTGACCACATTACAACGTATTTGTAGCCGTTCACTGCCTAATCGTCTCCATGAGCGCGCCCCTTACCCTGGCGTTCGGGAATCTGCGATGTATGCTACTCATGCCTCCACAAGGTGAGGTTTGCATCTTCTACTTCGGTCTCTCTCGTGATTACCTCCTTTTTGAGAAATTGTCCCGCCCAGTTGTCGGTGTGTCGGCGTTTCGCTCTCGCAAATTCCTCACTCCAAAATTCCGCATCGGGAAAGTGCGACCCGCACTCATCCATAGATCATTTACTACATAATGATATAAGACGGTAGGCAGCCAATCAGGGCTCGCTTAGCTCAGTTGGTAGAGCGCGGCACTAGTATAGGTATCGTGATGCCGAGGTCTACGGTTCAACTCCGTAAGCGAGCATGCAATTCCTTTTTGCGTTCTCTCCCTTCGTTTGGACATGTCCCACTCGCCCCTATGTTCTCCCTACGCGCCGCGAATGGCTGGGGCGCCGGATCGCGAGGGACATCGACTACATCCGTGAAACGCAAGTCACAGAGAGCAAACCCGGGGGCGAGGGAGCTTTTGAAATACATCGACGCACTCCTAGTAGGGAAGAAGCAAAGTGAACTAACAGCGGGTTGATGTCTACCAACCTGCGTCGATACAATGTCTGAGCTGCTGTCAGTGTTGTCTTTCGGCTCGCGGCGAAGTCGATGAAGTAACGAGGAGAATGGGTTGTGAAAGCCGTTTCCGCGATGTGCTTGAAGGTCTGCCTCTATGTTGCACTCCGTGACACAGCCGCAGGCCAGGGGTTAGCGCGTGAAGCGCTATGACGAGCTCCAGTGTACCGGAAGAAGCAGAACATCGAGTACAAGCATCGAGTGCAGTCTGGTGATAGCTCAAACTGCACCTTCGCTACTCCTAGAGACTTGGAAGCGTTCTATGGTACTCTGAACGCCATCATGGCAGCCGGGCTGTGGGCCAGTTTTGGAGAGAGCGGGCTGCACATTCTCGCGGTGCTCTCGGCCACTCTAAGGCGCTCAGAGGTGCGATGCGAAACCGCCGTTCTGCCGTAGCTGAAACCATACGAGCACCGACAGCGTGTCGAATGTGTGGAGAAGCGGACCAAGTGGGACCACATGGACTCTTTCCTCGTCAAGCCAGGCGGACTTCGAGAGCTTCCATGATCATGACAATCCAGGGATGGCGAGACTTTTCAAGAGCACAGTAGCTGCCGGGTCGTTCCATCGTAGCCAGCAGCGTACAGCACATTTTGCAATTCTTTCTCGAATTCCGAGCGATCCTACTCAGGATACACCATCTTCCTTGTCACACCTCCATCGACCACAAGCTCGCTCCCCGTCACCCCGCTGCTCTCGACAAGATACTCCACAGCCCGCCACACATCCTCCACGTTTCCAACCCTGCCAGTCAGCTGCCACTGATGCTCCGCCTCGCTTAAGCCCTCTTCCCAAGATTGCCCAGCCTCATCGGCGGCCTTGCATTCGTTTGCCACATGGATCCACCCCGGTAGTATGGCATTGACCCTCACGCCTTTCGGGGCAAGTGAAACAGCCATAGACTGTGTCAGGCCAAGAAGTCCAGCTTTGGTCGCCGCGTAAGCTTCGTTCGCGGGCTCGGACTGCCGAGCACGAGTGGAAGACATGTTGATGATACAACCTCCTGCAGGTCTTGAGGAAGACTTGGACATATACGGCAGGCAGTGCTGGGACATCAGCATGGGAGCTGTGAGATTCACCGCCAATGACGTGTTCCAGAGATCCAATGACATTTTCGAGACGTCTGCACTGCCCACACCGGCTGTATGAGCAGCGTTGTTAATCAGCACGTCAATCTTTGAATCAAAGAACGTTGCCGCGTCTTTGACGATCGAGGCTATCTGATCCGGCTTGGACAGGTCGCAGAGGGCTGTGCGGAGCTGTCTCGGGGTCTTCGAATGGTTGGTGAGCACTGTAGCGGTGTGATCAAGCTCTTCCGCATTGTTGTCCAGGAGAAAGACTCGATGGCCGTGTGACAGAAGTAGTCTGCTGAGTCCACGCCCAATCCCGCGACCTGCGCCAGTGATGAGATAGTTGCGCGCGTTAGTAGCTGCCATGTGAGCTGAGATGGCACGAATGGATACACAACGGCCAGGCTGTGGTGTTGAGCTGCTACTCCTGGGATACTACCGAGCTTGTCTTATGCCATGGAGATGACGAGAGAATGAAGTCATGATAAACTACATTTTAGCGTGCCTTCCTCACATTATCCAACCTTGAGTCGACTTCACCTTGTGCTTGAGGCCCTGGGCTACGTGATCTCGCAATGCCACACGCCTCGTGGGCGCTTACTTCGGGCAATGGATCGGGTCAGACTAGGAGGCTCTTGACAAACGTGCTATACGGGAAACCACCCGCCCTACTGAGCCGCTCCGAGGGCAATCGACGATCTGGCACTTCGGCGGTATTATAGCCGAAGACACTGCTAAAATGGCGGTGTCGAGGCGGGACCAAGCTGCTGATTCGTATGGTTGTCACTTCCTTTATCACGAAGGCACTGTACCAGCAGCGGCCGGCCCAGTAGTTGCAATGCTCATCGCGTTGCGGACGCAGCTTACCGTGGGTGCTGCCTGTGAGTGTACGTCGCATGTCATCCGAAGATGTTGCGAACGTCATGAACCGTGGTGTAAGGAACACAGACAAGGTCTAGACCTTGCGCCATAGTAGACTACTGCAGCTGCGCATCCACAACAAAGTTCGCAGCCGGAAACGAAAGCGTGGAAGTGCAATTAGGTGACGCACGGAGCTTCGAGGCGCGAAACGTGACTAGATGTCAAAGCGGTTGAGGTAATGATTTGCGGGCGTATATGGTCTGAAGAATGGGTTTGTTAAGCTACAAGAGAAACACTTGGTCAACTTACGACTTCGGATTGAAAGTGCAGGCTATTCGGGGGTTTATTATTAATCACCACACGATCGGCAGTTCCCGCTGTCTTCAGGGTCCACCCACAGCTGTTCCGGAAAGTGTCCATTGCCAATCCATTTCTCGCAGACTCCCAGCTTCAGCTACACGCTGCTGCGCCCTAAATCGTGTCCCTGAGGCCGATTACTATCTCGCCACCGCTGCTGACCCAATCACGAACTCGGGTCTAAGGCTTACACTCATTTTTGTGCCTGAGGTGCGACTTCCGCCACTTTAGAAACAACGACGTCATCCCAGGGTCTCGCTGGCTGAGTCGAGTCTCCTCGAGGCATGTTCAGCACGCGACATATTGATCCACATTGCAATGTTCGCGATGGCGCGAAATGACCTCTGATACGACCGTGTTCCACTCTACAGTACAGCTTCTATCGACTTACATACGATCGAGGTGAAGATGTCAGCAAGCGCGACGTCACCACGTTACACACAGCCCACGGCGATCTCGTCCCCTTCGAGTCGCATTCCTCCCTCGAGGCGTCAGGGCAGTTCCAGCACTGGTCATGTTATGCCTCCCTATTTCACACCTCGATTAGCCACACCACACCAATCAGGTCACACTTCGACAACGACGCCGAGTCCTAACTATTTCGGCTTCCAGACGAACGGAGAGCCAAACAACGATGACGGGCAGCAGACAAAGGCACATTGGAGTCCACCTTCATCAACCGTGCAATCTACAGCTGCGGTGTCTCCCAGTGCGATACCACATGAGCACAATCCAGAATTCAGTGCTTTCAAGAAGCACTCCGAGGGCAAGGCTTTCAGTCTTGGTGGCTTGAGCGCCTTCGCCATAAACGCGCCCCCTGCGCGTAACTCAGGAGGCAAGTCAAGTAAGACCGTGCTTGCACAAGATAGTGCAAAGAGCGTTCCTGCTCCCAGGACAATGCCTCCTCCACCGAGAGTTGGCAGGGAGCTGCTGGAGCCAAACGTGTCCGAGATGTCGCAATCGCCTAAGAGGATGCTGTCCCCGGATTCGAGAATGTTCCCGGATATAGCGAGAAGAGGTTCGCCTGCGAGCATGGCTGATGGCGAGCATGGAGAGAAGCACAGACGCGAGCACTCACCAGAGCGCCAGCCACGCAAAGCTTTGCCGCTAGATACAAACACAAGCGGCAGCTACGCAATGCCGATACACCGCGCCGAGACTCTACCGGAAAGCGGCAAAGACGAGGGTCAAGTCATGGTCACCGCGCAGCGGGTTATTAATTTGCTGGAGTCCTCTGATGAAGAAGTGCTCATACTTGACTTACGTGTGTCTACACACTTTGCACAAGCGCACGTCGCAGGCGCACTTACATTATGTATCCCGACTACACTGTTGAAGAGGCCAGCCTTCAATGTAGAGAAGCTGGCAGCAACGTTCAAGGACGAGGGTCAGCGCGCGAAGTTCGAGAATTGGAGGAGCAGCAAATACATTGTCGTCTACGATAACAGCTCGGCGCAATTGAAGGATGCGATGACCTGCATGAACACTATCAAGAAATTCAGGACGGAAGGATATGCTGGGACACTGTATATTATCAAGGGTGGATTTCAGGAGTTCGCAAAGCGCTTTCCGGGCTACGTCGAGGCTGGAGTTGATGCCACGAACGACGACTTGGGAGCTTCAAGTACGGATTCAGAGGGCAGGCTCATACCGCCTGTCATTGGCGGCTGCCCAAGGCCACTGTCCGACAAGCCTGCAAATCCATTCTTCGGCAACATCCGGCAGAACATGGACTTGATCGGCGGCGTTGGTCAAATGTCGCTCAAGCACCCGACGCGTGCGACAAGAGCCACCGAAGACAACTTTCCAGCTTGGATGAAGCAGGTGTCGGACGATCAGGACCAAGGCAAGCGAGTTTCGGACCGCTTTGAGCAGATCGAACGTCGCGAAAAGAAGCGCATGGAGGACGCACTCTCAGGCAAAGTCACCTTTGCCACATCGCCACACGCATCGAAGCATGCGAAACCAGTCAAGAACATCCAGATCGCGGGTATTGAGAAGGGCAACAAGAACCGCTACAACAATATCTGGCCGTTCGAGCACTCGCGCGTGCGTCTTCAAGGTGTGCCGAGTCACGGCTGCGATTATTTCAATGCTTCTTACATCAAAGCTGCGTGGAGTAATAAGCGCTACATCTCCACGCAAGCGCCAATACCAGCGACATTCAACGACTTCTGGAATGTCGTGTGGCAGCAAGACATCCGAGTGATAGTGATGCTGACAGCAGAGCAAGAAGGCGCGCAAGTCAAGGCTCATAATTACTGGAATGGGAAGCAGTACGGTCAGATACATCTAGATTTTCTGTCAGAGAAACGCGCTTCCATCGAGCCGGCTAAGATCCATCGTGCAAAGTTGCGACCCTCGGTAGCTAGGAGATCGTCTACGAACCCAGTAAACATCCCCCTTGCGCCTGTGGAAGCCAAGGACGACAGATCGAAGCCGGAGCAGCCGT